TCTCGCACTGACTAATCCCCCGCTACAAACATGAAGCAAAGCTTCATGTATTGGAGTCACTACAGACGAACCTCCATGATCACAAGGGATGAGTGGTGCCATGATTTAAACATGGATCAATAAGTTATCCATCATATCTTCCAAATGCTTTACCAAGTCACCATAACTTGTAAGGCTTCTAATCTTGATCCTTTTTTACCTCAGGACATGAATTCTTGATTTTTTTTTTGTTCTGTGGTTTGTGATTGGTAATCAAGTGTCTTTACAGGGAGAGGATGACTTTTATATAAGATATTATACGCTTCAACTTTTGACTGCCCTTTTAACAAATTCCCCCATTAGGTATGTGTCATACATACTTTTTCTTTGTTCTTTTTTAACTTTTATTTCATATACTGAGGTCTCCTTCAGGTTACAGGAAGTCATTCTTACAATCCCCCGTGGTATAACTCGGCTTATGGATCAGGAGGTATGAACTGGTATGCCTGTTGAAATCTTTAATTCGTATGATGTTTAATAATTCTTTTTCCTTAAACACTATGATTATTGCCTTGTAGGTCATACATAATTAGACCTTGTTAGTTCTTTTTCCTTAAACACTATGATCTTTGAGGGTGCTTTTGAGAAGATTTTCAGTATCATTAAAGAAGAGGGAGGTTCAGAAGGTGGTGTTGTTGTCCAGGTGATTAGTTGACTCTTCGTCAAATCTATACCATTAATGGTTTCTTGTCGTTTTTGGTCAAATTTTTATGCCATAATATTGAATCTGTTTTAATATTTGATTTTCAAGCTTTAATAGATGCCACATGATGTTTCTTGATTGCTCCCTCGAATAAAAAAAGACTGATTTGCCCTCACACTTCATAAAGCATTCACATATTGAAAGATGCAGCTTAGTTATCTTCATATTTACCCTTCCATGGATTCCCACTATAAGTCTCAGTAGAAGCTTTGATTAGGGACCACCATGTTACCTAAACCCCAATGCAGGTGGTGAAAAACGAAGCACATATGTACAAACACAATTGTATATTGATATAGGTTTTATTGTTTTAATGAATTTTAAGTAGGGGGAGAATTGGTACGGTACCAAGGTTTTTTTTTCTCCAAACCGTGTACCGTACCAACTATAATTGGTATAAGATTTTAGCTACCTGTGCCGTACCAAGTGTACTTGGTACCAATTAATTTGGCTACCAACAAATTTGGTTGATATATATTGGTATTTGGTATATACCAAAATTTTTAACTAATATGTACTATACATGAATATAAGTTGAATTTGTGGACATTTGGCTGTTGCCTCACTCGCTTCTGGTAGTATTTTTATGGAAACAACTAAAAGGATTAAAAGATGTCCACCCATAGCAAGTTGCTAGAGGAAACAAATGGTAACAGTACAAGTACAATGAATGAGAAGTTATTATTCCTTTTTAAGTTTTAGTGTATGTATCACCGATCTCGTGCACATCAAACAATAAGTGTTAAGAAATTTGTCGATCAATGCGGTAGTTTAGTAATTCTAAGACTTGTTAGTTGTTATTCTAATTAAAACATGAAGATATGAGAACTCATATTTCTTTGTATTTATGAATTGATATATATATATATATATATATATATATATATATATATATATATATATATTGGTTGGTACAGTACAACCGTCGTATTCAAAATTTCATACCGTTACCGTACCAAGACTACTTAATTGACATGATATTACAACCAAACATATTAGCTACCAAACAACTTGACTACTAATTTAATTGGTTGGGTTAGTAACATCTTGATTGATTCTCTGTGGTACATATTTGTCATACCTAATTTTGAGTGTGAAACTAACTTTCAAGATTTTTTAATGAAATGTCAATCATTAAATTTCCAAATTTCCTATTTGGTTGTATGATGTGTTTGTTAAATAACATTTGTGAATAATGATAGCCTCTTAATTTTTTTTTTTACAAACTAATCTCAATTTTTTTTTTCACAAAATAAACTCAATTTTTTTTTTCACAAAATAGCCACAAATTTTCGGTTGTTTTTTTACAAACTAGCCTCATGCTTACTTTTTTTCCCACAAAATAGCCGTAAATTTTAGTTTTTTCACAAAATAGCCACAAATTTTCTGTTTTTTTACAAACTAGCAACATACTTTTTTTTTTCAAGAAATAACCTTAATTTTTAGTTTTTTCACAAAATAGCCACAGATTTTCGGTTTTTTTTCACAAACTAGCCTCATACTTTTTTTTTCTTCACAAAATAGCCTCAAATTTTAGTTTTTTTTCACAAAATAGCCACAAACTTTCGGTTTTTTTTCCACAAACTAACCTCATACTTTCTTTCTTCACAAACTAGCCTCATACTTTCTTTTTTCATAAAATAGCCTCAAATTTTAGTTTTTTCACAAAATAGCCTCAAGTTTTCATTTTTTTCACATAATAGCCTCATACTTTCTTTTTTCACAAAATAACCTCAATTTTAGTTTTTTTTTTTTCACAAAATAGCCACAAATTTTCGGTTTTTTTTTTCACAAACTAGCTTCATACTTTTTTTTTTTCACAAACTAGCCTCCAATATTAGTTTTTTCTCAAAATAGCCACAAATTTTCAGTTTTTTTTTCACAAACTAGCCTCATACTTTTAGTTTTTTCACAAAATAGCCTCAAATTTTTGTTTTTCTTTTTTCACATAATAGCCTCATACTTTTTATTTATTTATTTATTTTTTTTCACAAAATAGCCTCAAGTTGTAGTTTTTTCAAAAAATAGCCTCAAATTTCTATTTTTTTTTCACAAAATAGCCTCATACTTTGTTTTTTTGTTTTGTTTTGTTTTGTTTTTTTTTTTCACAAAATAGCCTCAAATTTTAGTTCTTTTCACAAAATAGCCGCAAAATTTGTTTTTTTTTTTTTTTTTTTTTCACAAAATGGCCTTAAATTTTCGGTTTTTTCAAAATAGCCTCATGTTTTTGTTTTTTCATATAATAGCATCATATTTTCATTTTTCACCCACAATGGCAACCTAATTTTCAGTTTTGACCCATTATTGCTGCATACTTTCAGTTTTTACCCATAATAGCATTGTTTTTTCAGTTTTAACCAATTATTACAACCTAATTTCAGTTTTGGCACATAAGAACAACCAACATTTAATTTTAAACCCAAAAATGATAAATAATCAACAACTTTTTGAGAACTATAAAAAAAATATTAAGAAAAATAAAACATTTCTAGATTATTCATACATTGTTAACCAAAAAAGAATTTCAAAAATGCCAAAAAGCATATTGAATTTTCCTTTGCTCACAAAAACAACACACTTATTATTATGTCTCTTCCAACAATTCATCTGCCTGATACATGTGAAAAAATACTGTTAATATAATTATTAGAGTTCTAAAACATGAAAATTAAATTAATATTTAAAGTGCCTTTCTTTTAAAACAACTAGTAGTGTATTGACCAAATCCTGGACAATAAGAGCCTGTACGTTTTTTGGGGGCTTCCTAAGAAGACCTGATTTTATTATCAATTTTAGGACGTCCTTTTGTAGTAGTTGGACCAAGAGGATCACAGACAGATAACTGTGGCATCATATCTATTTGCGAAACTCCCATATAAGAACCTTGAGATGCATTCTCCAAATACATAGATTTCTTTCGATTTGTTTGATCATCTAAAAGACCTATCAATAGCTTATTGACTTTTTGTATCTCTAAAGGTGAATCTCTTGCTTGTTTAATTAGTTTAGTAAAATTTGAACAGACACACCATAGTGTGTAGGCACTAACTCCATTTTCATTATTCATTTCTTCGAGTCCGATACTAGCACTACCGAGTTTGTACCTAGCATTAAGGGTACATCGTGGTAAATTATAGTGACTCAGGAGTTATTTAACATGCTTCTTCTTCATCACATATAGGCTATGTTTGCATAAAATCCCATTTGTCTCATACTTAGCACATGAACATGTGACGTTAACTTGATCCAAAGAACGAAAGGTAATAATGCACCAATATTTTTTTTATCAACATCCAATTGCATAACTCGATATGTGCTTTATTCTGTAGTTTTTCCTATAGTCTCATGAGTCAAATTGGTAATAACTTCGGTCCGTTCATCTTTCTAGTATAACATTAACCTGCTTTTGCTTTGATTGGATGCACTGAAGAAAGAACCGGCATCGAGTTCATAGTCTTGAACTCTTCATCTTCTTCAGAAGCCCTTTGAGACTCAACTGCTTTGTCGTATTATACAATGAATTCGTTCAATATGGTCTTCGAGTTAATAAATCCATCAAAAAATGAGTTGATACTCTCACTTCGTCCGATTGTTGTCATACCGGCAAAGAAAGTATCCTTCAAGAAGGGTTTAGCCCAATGTATACGTTGGTTATACATGTCACTAATCCAACAAATGCTTTCCAGTTCATACTTACTACGCATAACTTCCCATGTTGCTTCAAAATGTTCAATAGTGTCACTATTTACCCATTGTTTGTGCGTTTGTTGAAAATCATTGTAACGAGAAACATACGATCTAAGGAACTTAGTTTCATGCTTCATGATATGCTATGAACAAAAACGATGTCTAGTCTTCGGAAACACTTTTTTTTATTTCATTTCCCATTGCTTTGTCTTGATCTATTATAATTGCCTTCAGATACTTGTTAAACATACATTTGAGGAAATGTTCAAATAACCATTCAAATGTCTCTTGCTTTTCATTTTCCAATAATGCTCAACCAAAAAGTATAGACTGCCCATGATGATTCACCCCAGTAAAGGGAGCAAAAGGCATCTTTAACTTGTTAGTCATATAAGTGACATCAAACACAACAACATCTTTTAATTTTGTATAGGCATCTCTTGATCTACTATCATCCGAAAAGATATTTCTAGGATACTCATCATCAAAAAAATCCATGACAAAATAATGGTCACTATCAACTAATGTTTTATCTTGAAAATGTTTTATAAGTCCATAGAACTCCTTTCCTCTATGTTTTTTTTGGATGCTCAAATAAGACATCAATACGCTGCTTTGAAGTAACATCAGCTACATTTGAGGTTTTCATTATATTAACAACCTTTTTAATCTGAGAAGATTTCAACCCTGCTTGACCAAATTGCACCATAAGAGATTTACCTTCTATTGAATGGTGGAAATTGCTATGAGGTCGATGCTTTATCACCATCGTTGGTGTCATTTTCAATTCGTGATTGTTTGTGTCATTAAATAAGTCAACCAACCATTTCCCATCCTCCTGTCTTGTAATTCGAAGCTTTGCTTGACATCCGGTTCTTATATCTCTACGATGTTTTTTCTCATTTCCACTTGAATCATTTTTGTCTACCCGTTTGAAACCTTCTTTGCAACATACATAATACTTACGATAAGGCTCATTTGTTTTTGTGCTTTTAATTGTGTCATCTTTACGTATACCAAAACCATGTAAAAAGGAATAATCATTATAAAATGTATATGCTTCGTCAGGCGTATCGAAAACCTTTCCCATTATTCTTTCAACATTATCTTCGTCTTCTTCAAATTCAATGTTCACATCGAAATCGTTAAGTTCTTCAGATTCATATGATGCTTCCACAAAATCATTTGTGTCAATAGTTTTATTTATATACGGTTCTATATCTTGATCAGTTGCTTCAGTTTCAAACATCATGGCCTGCATGTAACCACATGTTCCCAAATAAAACATTAACACCAAAATTATTTTCTATTAAATAGGAATGAAACATTATAGGTAATAATGTGACATCCCCATTTTCTCGGCCAGAAAAGACTGATTTTGTTTATGCTTTATAAAAATCAGAGTACCTATTTTAATAAAAATACTGTGGAATTTGTTCCCAGTAAAGCATGATAAATACGTTATCAAAGAATTTCCGAAGAAAAGTATTTTTGTTCATTTTAAAACATTGGGATGTCATCGTCAATACAGAAACATAAGCATAAACATAACTTACATTCATTATCACTAGTGATTTATATCTCCGTAATTTCTAAGTGTAATGTGACTTCATATCAACACCTGTGATATAAATAAACTGAGTGGATCAGGTTGGGAAACCTGGTGAGTACATAGGGTTTTCAACCCATAATAATATAATAGTTATGTTTAATCATAAAACTGAGTGTGCTTGGGAGTGATGTGGGATTAATATAGCCAGATCAACTATATTCAATTGAGATGCGACCGACATGTGCTTGGGAGTGATGTGGTGGTACAAAGGTGTTATACTTAAATCTATACAAGGGATCTCTAGATCAGAACATGAAAGTTAGAATACTATAGGAGTATTCTATGACTCTATAACACGATAACAAGTTTGAAACATAGTAAGTACATTACATTAAAATACTATAGGAGTATTTTAGACACTATACAAAAAATTATGTGATAACTTAAAAGACCCACATGGATAGGTCTATAATCTTGCAATATATACTCCCCAGGGTTTTATATAATTGAGATTTTATAGACTTAGAATTTGTGATCTACACTCCACTATCTGTTCCTTGTTTGGTTGTGGTTTTGGAGTAGGATCACTTATTCGAAGGTCTATTTAATCTTGAATTATATACAACTTGTATACATTGTTTAATTATAGAAGGACTCTGTAAGGATCACCCCATAAAATTACCCTAAATCTCATAGATTCTTTAAACACTTCCATTCTCGCACGACAAACCAGATAGATATAACCACTTTCTCATAGCGGTCAACAGAAGAGTCAAGGAGGAACAAGAGCAAGCTCATGAGAAGTTTCCAAAGAAGGATTAACCGAAGTAAACAAAACGCCTTAATACGTCACACTAATAAATAATAATCTTGGTTAACTTACTGAGTTAGTGGAAACACTACTCACCCTATGTGTTAGGATTATTTTCTTTACATGTAACCGGTAACAGTTATTCAGGTCACATTTATTCATTCGAGGATAGCCATTTCTAATTCATAAAGTATATTTGGTATAGACTCTGTTAGGAATCGTTTTGAGACCCTATGGAAGTCAGGACCCGATACATTCAGAACTAGGATAACCTTGTCTTTCAGCTTTCAGCTTTTATCCACTACTATAGACTTATTCCATCTCATCTTTGTATTCTTTTAGCAAAGATGCCTCCTCGCAGATCAAACAGACGCACTACTCTGATAACTCCAACTCAACCGCTGCTACCTCCACCTCAATTCGACTCTACTGCTCTCCAAGCAGCGATATCCTCTGTAGTGGCAACTGCTCTAGCTCACTTCGGTGAAAGTGGTACCTTTGGATCTGGTAGCGGTACCCATTTAGTTAACCCCGGAGGTACTCACGGGCACCCAAGGGAGTGTATGTATAAGGACTTCATGAACTGCAAAGCCAATTCCTTTAATGGAATTGGTGGAGTCATCGCTCTGATGCGATGGTTCGAGGAAACAGATTCGGTCTTCACAATCTGTTCATGCCTAGAAGGGAGCAAAGTGAAGTTTGTTGCCTGCACCTTCTCCAACAGAGTCCTAACATGGTGGAATACCCATGTTAAGTCACTGACCCTATCAGTGGCTAACTCAATGGGTTGGGAGAACCTAAAAGAGATGATGTTGGAAGAATACTGCCCAAGGGGCGAAGTTTAGAAACCGTAGGAGAATCAACCCCGGAGTCGCCAGCGAGTAGCGGTACGTTTTAGAAATAGTAATTACTTTAAGAACTAATTTATATTTATATAAGATTAAAACTTTGGGAAAACACTTAAAAGTAATTATAATAACTCACTTATAAAAGCAAGTCATAGTATTCAAGAGAACTAAAAGATCCGTTCAGAGAAGCTATGATGGCTTAGCATATACATCAGGGTTGTACATAACTGTCACACCTCGAAACCAAGAACGACGGAAACATTCTAGGGTGGAGGACGTCATGTAAAGTATCACAACAGTGCAAAGTAGTAAACAAGCAACAAAATCATCCATTGCATTGATAGTAAAATTTTAATACATGTGTGTTCTTTCATAGAATAAAACACCATAATAAATAATCAAAATAAAAGACGAGTCTTAACTGCTCCATCTTCTCAAAACCTGGTCATCGTACCTGACTACTGGTGACCTGAGAATACAAGTTATTTTGATAGCGCAGATCAGCATAACGCTGGTGAGTTCATAAGTATTTTAGTGTCATTGATTTGTAAAGTTTTGAAGAAAAGACTTGTAAATGTTCAATGAAAAAGTTTGTATAAGTATGAAAACCCTAGAACATCCCATATTTCCCATTAGTATAAAAAGTAGTCTTCTACCAAGACCCCACTATTTTGAAGGTTTGTTTCTCTGTAAAATTGAAGGTTTTTCCCATGTACAACTATTATTATCAAAATATAGTCTACCTCATCATTCATGTGAATGTGTCACAAAATAAAGGTAATAAGGAAAATTATATAATCATTGAAATCGTATCAAAATATATTCTACCTCATCGTTTATGTGAATGTGTCACAAAATAAAGGTAATAATGAAAATTATATAATCCTTGAAATCGTATCCATTTGTCTAGGATAAACACAGCGCGGTAAATCACCGAACAGTACAATAGAGAACATCCGAAGATGAACATATCCTGTTATAATGGTCAGTCCCGTATTATGTAGTGTATGTATGTACTAGTGTAGTGTATGTCTTTCCTGATCCTCATCATAGTATGTTCTATAGTATAGTATATAGTGTGTATGAATAGTAAGTACTATTGTATGTTCTCTCTGTCTAGTGGGTAGTATGTTCTCTCTGACTCTTATTATAGTATGTTTAGTTGTATAGTGTAGCGTATGTATTGCTTATAGTGTGTATTGACTTATGTATGAACTGACTCTTTGTATGTTACATTGTACTAGTAACATTTAGTAGTATACCTCTAAACTATATCCATTATAGTTTACTAGTAATGTATGTATATGAATGAACGAAAGTATGCCTTTGCTACATAAAGGTACTGAACCGACTATTAGAACTTTTATGTCTACATATGTATACATAATATGTAACTAATATTTAGACGACATTCAGACAAATAACCGATACCCTAAGGCGACATCTAAACAAGGAAAAGGAATTAAAGCGAGTTAGTGTCCTAAGTCCTTTAAACATTACTTATATAAATATGCATATATAGGAATGCATTTGACAATATAAAAGTTTAAAAGAAGTATTGTAAAACATTTGAAAAGTTTAATAATAACAATTGATGAGTTGATGTCAATTTATAAAATGATTTAAAAGCAGGTTATTTGATAGAACAGTTTAAAGTATAAGAAATCATTTGTTTGAAACATAGTTATAATAGAATTTGCAAGGAAAGATTTAATGTATAAGACAGTTTGATAAAGAGTTTAACATGTAAGAATGTTTGATAAAATGTTTTGAAGTAGTTTGTTTGGTAAAACAGCTAAAAGTGTAGTAAATCCACACTTTGATAGTTATTAATCACATGTGATTGATATAATAACTATAATGATTCAATTTGTATCCCCCCCATAAAAGCATTTAAAAACATTTAAAAGGTTGATTAAGGGGTATGAACTCACCTGTAGTGAGTGGATTGGATGGAAGTGTTGGACAAGGTACTAGGTGTCAAGTGAAGACTTGAACATACACAAGGATCCTATTAACATATCAAGACATATATATATATGTACCTAATTAGTGATTATAACACTAATTAAGAAAGTAAAAACATCCTAGAACATGGAAAACTCTTGGATTTAAGTGTTATAAGAACTTAGGGTTACATCTAAAAGTTGTAAGACATTGCTATTGAGTTTACGGCCCAAGGACCACTCTCCATGGACTTTACGGCCAAAGATGTATGGCCGTAGTGGGTTTATAGCTGTAAACCCATGGCAAACTCCCCAGATTCGTGTGTTAAGGTCCTTAGCTCAAATGTGAAGGGTTATAGTTCAATTCCCAAGCTTTAGGAAGGAATTTAGGGAATCTATGCATCCTCTAATAGAGTTCACGGCCTTGGGAGATGCCCTGGATGTAAACCCCTTCCATTCCAGATTTCTTGATGCTTCTAAGGCTTAAACATGTTCATTATAGTAGACAACAAGCTAGGTTAAGAGTACTTACAATATAGAAGCTTGTTTGGGTGTTTAAGGTCCAAGAACACTAGTGTGTGTTCTTGGTGTTTTGAAGAACACTTGAAGATCTAACCAAAAGAAGAGATTTCATGGATGAAATCATGAGTAAATCAAGAAGAAGTGAGGTATAACACTTGGATGCAGTGATTTACTTACATGAATGGAAGATTGGAAGGAAAGTTCTTGATGATACTTGAGAGAAAACCCGAGTTCTACGCTGGAGAGTGTGAAAATGAATGAAAATGGCCAAGTTTTTCATATATAGGCATGGAGTTTACGACCTCATGAATTTACGATCGTAAACTCATGGTCTCATGGTCATAAACTCCTCATTTGAGGGTCTAAGGCTTGATTGGTGGTTTGGAACCCTAGTTGACCCATTCTAGATTTTGATCCTTTGAATTATTAAAGATCAGAATGCTCAAACAGACTCTAAACTGTTCTAAAAGTTAGTAGGAGTAAGTTTGACTTTCTATGAAGTGCTTGACTGTACAGGATAGGAACTTTCGGTTTGTCACATCATCCCCCCGTTAGAGGGAATTTCGTCCCGAAATTAGAGTT